GCAGGAACTAGCGGAGCGGCATGCGAGGCAGCAGCAGCAAGGGGCAGCCCTCCGGGGCTGTCGTTTCTGCTGCTGCTGCTGCAGCAGCAGCGGGCGCCCGCGCGGGCGAGGAGGCAGCAGCAGCAGCAGCAGCAGCAGGAAGCGACGCGGACGCGGAGCAGGAAGGCAGCAGCAGCGGGGAAGACAGCAGCAGCAGCGGGGAAAACAGCAGCAGCAGCAGCAGCAGCAGCAGCAGCGAAGCAGAAGTGGGCATTGGGCTGGAGCTGCCGGCCCGCAGCACGAGGGGCAAAGGCTACAGCAAATTAATTGGAGAAGAAAAAGAAAAAGATATTTTATTTTGGGGCCATGCAACATGGGAAGAAGAGAGTGGAGACGAAGAGTACGACTCTGCTGCTGCTGCTGCTGCTGCAGCAGCAGCAGCAGCGGAGCGCGAGGTCGACAGCGACTTCGACGCCGCGGAGAGCAGCAGCAGCGACGAGCAGCAGCAGCAGCAGCAGCAAGCAGCAGCAGCAGCAGCAGGCCTCTCCGACGGCCCCAAGAGACACGCCAGGGGCGCCGTCACTTTCTACCAGCAGGCCATGAAGCGCCGGCAGCAGCAGCAAAGGCGGAAGCAGCAGCAGCAGCAGCAGAAGCTCAAGCAGCAGCAGCAGCAGCAGCAGCAGCAGCAGCAGCAGCAGGGCCCCGGGGAGCCCAAGCGGCAGCAGCAAACCCGCCCCTCCACCCGCACCCAAACGGAGACAGTGAACCAGCAGCTGCGCTCTTCCAAGCAGCAGCAGCAGCAGCAGCAGCAGCAGCAGCAGCAGGGGGCGGGCCGCAGCAGCAGCAGCAGCAGCAGCAGCAGCAGGGAGCAGGAAATGAGCCAGGAAGAACACTTGCTGCTGGCGGACAAAACTGAAAAAGAAACAGCAGCAACTCTGGTGGTGCAGCAGCAGCACAAAGAGCTGCTGCAGCTGCACAAACTTTCCAAAGCAGCAGCTTACAGGGGCCCCTACCAAATGCTGCTGTCTTGGGCTTCTTTCCTGCAGGTGGGGCCCCCCAGCGAGGAAGCAGCAGCAGCAGACGCAGCAGCAGCAGCAGCAGACGCAGCAGCAGCAGCAGCAGACGCAGCAGCAGCAGCACACGCAGCAGCAGCAGCAGACGCAGCAGCAGCAGGCTCCGCTGCAGCAGACCCAGCAGCAGCAGCAGCAGCAGCAGCAGCAGCAGCGGGAGACGCTCCAGCAGCAGCAGCAGCAGCAGCAGCAGATACTGCTGCAGCAGCAGCAGCAGCAGATGCAGCAGCAGCAGCAGCAGCAGAAGAGGAAGAAGAAGAAGTTTACGAAAAAGTGCTGCTGATTTGCACTGACGGGAAGCTGCCAAGTCTTTATGAAGCTCTGCCTCCAGCAAGTAAACTTTTTATTTATTTTTATTTATTTTTATTTTATTTTATTTATTTTATTTTATTTTTATTTATTTATTTTTATTTATTTAATTTTAATTCTTTTATTTCTTTTTGTTTCTTTTTTGCTTCGCTTTCCGCTTTCCAGTTTGTCTTCTTCAGTTTGCTGCTTCCTCAATCTCGTTCAACCCGCAGCAGCAGCAGCAGCAGCAGCTGCTGCTGCTGCTGCTGCTGTTGCTGCTGCTGCTGTTTGTTTTCCGTCTCGCTGCTGCTGCTGCTGCTGCTGCTGCAACACTGCCCCACGAACCTCCCACTGGCGCCCTACTCACCCCCCTTCCTCTGCTTTGCTGCTGCTGCTGCTGCTGCTGCTGCTGCTGCTCCTCCCCCTCCTCCTCCGCCGCCGCCGCTGCTGCTGCTGCTGCTGCTGCTGCTGCTGCTGCTGCTGCAGCGCCTCCGAGTCCCGTGTGCGCAGTGACGGGGGCCCCGGCGAAGTACTTCGACCCGCTTTCGCGCTGCTTCTTCAGTTCTGCTGCTGCTTTCAAGTTGCTGCGTGCTGCGCTGCAGTGCATGCGCGAGCGCGAGGTGTACAGACACCTCGCGCAGCTGCAGGTGCGCGCCCCACACTTCAGTTCTTTCTTTCTTTCTTTTTATTTATTTATTTATTTATTTATTTATTTTATTTTTTTATTTTTTTATTTCTTTTATTTATTTATTTATTTTATTTATTTGTTTTTATTTTTTGTTTTTATTTGTTTTTATTTAATTGTTTTGGTTTTGTTTAGTTCAAGTAGCTGCTGCGTCAAAATGCCGAACTTGGAAATACTTTTAAAGACTTTTTAATTTAATTTAAAATACTTTTATTTAAACTCTTTTGATGTTTTGAAATTCTTTTTAAATATTTCTTTTGGATGTTTAATTTGAAGTGCTTTTATAAATGTTTATTTTAAATCAAAAAGTACTTTTAATGTTTTTATTCTTGTGACTATTACCAATTAAAACAAAACTTTGATTAAAAAAATACTTTTTTATTTTTATTTTAAAAATATTTTTATTTTAATTTTAAAAATACTTTTTTATTTTTAAAAAACATTTTCTGCAGCTCTGCATGCAAGTGCATGCATGTCTTTTTGGTTGTTAATAATCTTTCTAAAAGTTTAAACATTCAAGTTGCACATTTTAAACATTTGCATTTGTCCTCTCTCTTCTTCATTTGCTGCTGCTGCTGCTGCTGCTGCTGCTGCTGCTGCTGCTGCTGCTGCTGCTGCAGCAAGCGATCCGCGTCCAGGAGGAGAAAGTCTCTTACTTGTCCAAAGCAGCAGCAAGGGCCCCCACAGAGACAGCCTGGGGGCCCCCCGAGGCCCCGGGGGGGCCCCCCAGTGCAGCACGGGGGGCCCCCGCTGCAGCAGCAGCAGCAGCAGCAAGAGCAGCGGGGGCCCCCGGGGGCCCCCAGAAGAAGAAGAGAAGGGGAACAAAGAATTAAACAA